GCTAAGACAGGAGAGAGCCACAGGCCTGCAGGACAGAGCCATGGCTCATCCAGTGAGGGGGGGCAGCTCCTGCCGCTGCATGCTGTTCATCCAGTGCCTCGTCCAGCGCTCGCCTGTTCATCCGGCAGCTCCTGCCACCATTCCTGCCACTCGTCTGGGAGGGCATGGGAGGAAGGCATGTGCCCCTGGATCTGCACAGGGCAGGACTGGGGCCATACCAGGCTGCACTCATGGTGGGCACTGGCGGCACTGGGAGCAGGGAAGGGGGGCTGCAGCTACCCCAAAATTCACTGTAGCCCCCCCATAGGCCCACTCCCAGCGCCGCCCACCCCCAGCACGGCCTAGCCCCACCTACCCCACACAGATCAGGGGGCAAATGCTCCGGCCCCCAACCCTTCCAGGTGAGCAGCAGGAACTGCCGGATGACCACGCGAGTGGCAGACAAGCCGCCAGATGAGCAGCTCCCAGACAAGCAGCGTGCAGCGGCGAGAGCTGTCCCACCCGTCCTCCCGGATGAGCCACAGGTTCATCCTGCGACCGCCCTGCCCAGGCAGCACTTGCCCCAGCCCCACTCCCTCCCTCACCATGGGGAGCCATGATCTGCCCCCACATGCCCTTTCCCTCCCCCATCCCCTTCCACCCACAACAGACTTACCAGCTGGATGCAACTGTATTGGAACTTGGATCGGTATCAGCTGATATGCCTCCTTAATAATCAGCTTTTGGTATGGGCCCCAAAAACCTCTATCGATGCATCCCGAATAAAAATATATTTACAATAAAGGCATGCAAGTGTCCCTTGGCAAGAAAGATGAATTATTACCACAATGAGCTAACTAGACTCTTAACGCACCTCAAGACCCATCAATGAGCCAAGGCTGAGATCCTCCTCCAATTGAGGGACTGCTGACAATAGGTTGGAGTGCTGTAGCTGTTACAGCCCATACCATGAATATCAATATGTAAGAACCAATGTGCTTTCCTCTTGGTGATTCAGCTTAATCAACGATCACTTCCAAAACCCACGCTGGTGGTTTTGAGAGGCGAGGTGTTTTTATGTGGTAACTTTTATTGGACCAACTGCGCTATTGAGACACTGGACAAGCTTTGTTGAGAGAGACTGCAAAAAGCGTGACCTAAAGGGCATTTTGTGCTTTTCCAACACCCCTCCCAATGATACAATGGGTCCACTAAAAGAAATCTCCAAAAGACCCCCTCACTTCTCAGACCCACAGGCAGGTGTTTGGGAAGCAACTGTGGATTAAACACTGCGGCTGGGAGGAAAGCAGGCAGCTGCCTTCAGAGTGACACAGCGAGGCTTAGGACAATTGCTGCAGCCGATGCTGCAGCTACCGCAGCTCTTCTTTAAAAAAAAGAACGGGCAAGTGCTTCATGATGTGGTCAAGGCCCCTGCCAGGCAACGCGTATACCATGCAAGGCACTCCTCGTGCAAGAAGTTTGGCCAGGCCCCCCGTGCAAAATAATTATCACGCCACAACAAGGCCCAGACAGACACGTGCAACATCTGGAGAGCTGGTTTCCCTCCAGCTTCCCCGTGGACGGGAGGCGGGACCCGGCACCGAGGGCACAGAGCAGCCCCCTTGGCAGCTCGCCCGCCCGCCCGCTCCGCACCGCACCGCACCGCACCGCAGCCAGAGCCGCACGGGCGGCCCCGCGGGCTGCACCGGCCCC